TGGATCCTTAGTGGGGTTGAGGAAGGTGGGATTACAAGGAAAGGGTACTGGTATGTCTTGTTAATGATTAGGCTTGAATAGCACATCAATTCCATTCAACAAGAGCAGGAAAGATGAACAACGTATTAGGCTTGAGTTTCTCAAACAAGGGGTTTTGAGAAACATAGGGCATTATTAATTTTATATTAAGGCAACCTATTAAGGATCTGAGGCAACTTCTTGTCTTGAGCTTGTTGTTAAAGGTTCAAACTCTTAATTCAATGTATGACCTTGTATAATGAGTTTAGTTTTCAAATTTAGAATCTCTCCCTCTCTTTCTCAAGATTGCTGGGAGGAACATATGGCCATGTATATAATGTGCCTGGCACAAAGGGAACACTCATTGAACGTCAGCTCTTCATTTGCTGGAGCCAATCCAACATGTAACATCAACAGTTGACTCAGATGTACTCTGGGATAAATTGTTGTGCAATTGTCTGTCTTATACAGGCCATGGGCACACAGTGCACAAAGGAGATTACTTTGGTTAAGAAAGCCCTAGCTAATCAAACAGTTACCATAGACCACGGTGTGTCAATCTCAACACTGTTGGCATTGGGAGCCAGATAATTCTTTGTGGTGGGGCTGTCCTGTGCATTGTAGGATGTTTAGTGGCATCCCTGGCTTCTACCCACAAGATGCCAGTAGCACCTCCATCCCTAGCTATAAAAACCAAAAATACCTCCAGACATTGCCAACTGTCTCCTGGTGGGGGGTGGGGGGGGGTGGAATTACCTCCAGTTAAGAACATCAACTTAGATGATAACCTTCAGTCCTGGAGACCTGGTAGCTTGTCCTGAGAATCAAAGGAAAGAAGGTGAGTGAAAATGAAATTACCTGGTGGCTTGTAAAGTCCAAACCCTGGAGTGCTGCATGCACTTTTCTATCATCTGGGGAGATTTCACCATCCTGAGACCCAGGCCAAACTCCAACACAGTTAATCAGAAACTCAGTGGGTAGGATGGAGGCAGCAGTGTGTTTTGAAATTTCCTGAGTGATTCCAGGAGACGCCAGGGTGAGGCCCCTCTGCTCTAAGCTGAGATGTAATTCTCAGGACTGGGTGGTAGACTTTGCCATTTGATGACAGGGTCTGAGCCTATGTCTCTACATGTATGCACAGCATTAATTCACATATAGCAAACATAGCATTTGCTGACGGCACACCATGTGCCAGTCATGGTGCTGAGTGCTGGAGAAGCAAAGTTGACAAAGAACTGCCCTTGAAGGAATTATAATCTGATTGGAGAGAGTCTTGAAAAGCCCATTGAGAACGGCCCTGATAGAGTTTGCACAGAGAAGATCATAGGTGAGCGTATTTGTGCAGAGTACATCAGATAAGCCTTTCTGAAAGACATGAATGTTTTCATTTATTCTTAAACAGCTGGAGCCTAGAATTTGCTGCTTCATTTGAGTATAAACTTTTGCTAACAGTCTAAGAATTGGAGAAAAGACTGAAATGTAAATGAACATGAAGCCCTCAAACATCTGGAGGATTATCAGTAGAGAAACTTCCATCTCCTGTGCTACCAGCCCTGTCTGATAAATGAGCAATTTGATTGGCTATTAGAGCGTAAATCACTAATTCAGGCTACAGAGTATGGATGTATATAGTCTTTAACCCAGTGATCACATCTTAGATTTCTAGATGTTTTCAAAATGAACAATTGTTTTCCAACATTTTATTATTAGAAATTTCAAATACACAGAAAAGTTGAAAGAATTTCATGGAAAACATTCATGTTCCCACCACCTAGATTCCATCATTGACATTTGGCCATACTGTTGTTGCTTATCACATATCCAGCCATCTGTTTGTCCCTCTGTCTGTCTATGAATCCAAGGGGTGCATTTCTTTCAGTTAGTTCTCAATGACAGCAATAAAAGAGCAAGGGCTGCTTTGAAAATTGGTGTTATTTCTACATTTGTTATGAAGCATTATCCTTACTTGTCAGTCGATTCACATAGGGTGGAGTAGGGTGTTGGGGTAGGAGGGGGTTATGCCTCCAGTTATTAGAAACCAATTCTCTAAATTACTGTACTTATTCTAATAACTCTTGAGAAATCGCCTTTAAATTTGCTTAAACATTTCCTGTGGTCTTTGTAGATAACCTCCAGTGGGGGAAAAAAAAAAAAAATTGAAGTGACCATGTTTGCCCTAAAGGCTTTGGTTAGTTCACAAAACCTGTTTCCTCAGCGGAGAGTTGCTTCAAATAGACTTCCTCCCTTTACAAAGGCTTAATGATTTGTGTATTGAGTTGTTTCTTTCTGAGAGACATCTCACAAATACTCCAGCTGGGAAAAAGAGATAAATTGCTCCATCTGAAAGTTTAAAAGAAGAATTTTTTCAGGGTTTTGTAACTTGGACACTTGGTGTTCTGAAAAGAATGTCTTTGTGCCTATTTAAAATTGCAGAATCCTTTTCAGTTTGTTTCTAGGCGTTTATGCCAAAGAAGTAGCTCTGTAATCCCCATTTGTCTTCACCTGACATCAAATTCCGCTTTGCGATGGAGAATTGTTCCTTGATTTGACATTCTTTTAAAGAAAAATGAGCCAGCATTGAATTCTTAGCTGAATACCAGTAGTTGGTGTATGTGTGTATGTGTTTCCAATTATAGACAGAACCTGGTATAGTACTTTCAGCTGAAATCTTTGATGAAGCACATGAAAATTACATTGATCCAGATGGGATAGAAAGCTGTAAGACTGGTTGCACAAAGCCCTCTGCAAGATTTGTCTTCTTTCTTAATGTTACACATCTTAAGCTCGAAAGAGAGGGAAACCTGAGGCAATCATGGCTTAAAATTGCTCAAGATGTCTCATTGGCTAATTTGGGTACCAAGTAGATTGTGGGGAAATGGGGACAGCTGGTGGTATTTAGTTTCAGTAATTAGGGATTCTCTTTAGGTTATAGAGAACTCTTAGAAATAAAGGTGAGCTGCCTTGTCAGGGGAAGATGGCTTCCAACCCAGCCGTGGAAATAATCGGGCTGGGCACGATGGCTCACGCCTGTAACCCCAGCACTTTGGGAGGCTGAGGCGGGCGGATCGCTTAGCCCAGGAGTTCCAGACCAGCCTGGGCAACATAGTGAGACCTCATCTCTGCAAAAAATAAACAAAATTGGCTGGGAGCAGTGGTTCATGCCTGTAATGCTAGCACTTTGGGAGGCCGAGGCGGGCAGACTGCCTGAGCTCAGGAGTTTGAGACCAGCCTGGGCAACATGGTGAAACCCTGTCTCTACTAAAATACAAAAAAAAAAAAAAAAAAAAAAATCAGCCAGGCGTGGTGGCGTGTGCCTGTAGTCCCAGCTACTCGGGAGGCTGAGGCAGGAGAACTGCTTGAACCCAGGAGGCAGAGATTGCAGTAAGCCGAGATCACGCCACTGCACTCCAGCCTGGGCGACAGAGTGAGACTCTGTCTGTAAAAATAAATAAAATAAAATAAAATAAAATTAGCCAGGCATGGTGGGACACACCTGTAGTCCCAGCTACTTGGGAGGCTGAGGTGGGAGGATCCTTTGAGTGTGGGAATTTGAGGCTACAGTGAGCAGTGATTGCACCATTGCAACCCAGCCTGGGTGACAGAGCAAGACCCCATCTCAAAAAAAAAAAAAAAAAAAAAAAGAAAGAAAGAAAGAAAGAAAAGAAATGATCACATCATGAGAAATCTAGACATAAAGTCTTTAACTTTGTATATCCACTACAGAATCATGCAATACCCAGTGTGAGAGAATGAAGTAGGATAGGAGAAAATTACCTGCCGCTGCTGGGAGTCAACAATTTTCTTAGATAAAACATAAAAGCACAATGCATTGATAAAAAGGATGCAGCTGGGCGTGTCGGAAGCACACAGGGCATGGGAGGGAGCCTGGGCCCCACCCGCAGGGGTGATGGCCATTCCACGCGAAGGGGCAGGAGTGGCTGGAACGAGCCTGGGGGAAGGTCCTAAGCCCCGTTCACTTGGCCTCCATTCCTTAGGGCAGGGTCCTCTGGCACTCCCCACTCCCGGGTCCTTGCTTCCTTCACCAGGATGAGGAGCTGGAAAATCGTGGGGACAGAGGCCTCAGAGAGCCACCCAATCAGTCCACAGCAGCCATGGACAGTCCCCGAGTGGGAGGGTGTGCCGGCAGGGGGCGTGGCCCCATGCCGCACGCCACCTGCATGCGCGCTGAGCCGACCAGTCAGCGAGGAGCGCGGGCAGCCAGGCCGGCTGCTCTCGCGAGAACCCAGGAAACAGGTAGTGAGCTTTCGTGGTGCCAGCCTCTTCAGGTCCTCTGAGGGAGCAAGATCAGGGATCCCTCAGGCGAGGTGCCTTTGGTGGATATGCGGGGAAGGCGGGCATGAGGCTCTTTGGGGAAGAGGGTGTGAAGGGCGGGGCAGCCAGGCTGACCTGCGAGGAAATGGGCAGGGCAGGGAGCTGGAGCTGCCTGAGTGGTCCCCAGGGCCCAGGAGGGTCCCGGAGGCCTGCACATGTGTGCAGCGTTTGTGGGAGGGAGGTTGGGGGGGTCGACATGGGTCCGTCTTGTCTGCCCGCACATCAGGACGGGATACTTGGGGTGACCAGGGGTTCCCTGGGCGTTCAGGCTGGCTAGTGGGCAGTCCCTGTCCCTGACTGTCAGAAACAGTTGCACACCGGCTCAATCCATGGAGATGGTTGGGGAGATCTTGTGTCACCCCGCGGCCCTCCTGACTACATGGGGTCGCTGGGGAACCCAGGGGCAGGGCCAAGCTCTGTTCCAAGGGCACTGCAGGAATCCCGCAGAGGCCGCGGAATTCTGCGAGCTCTGCAGCCAGCCCCGGGGAAGCGCTGGACAGGCCAGGACAGGAAAGGATGATGGCATCTTCTCCGCGTCCCCTCCTGCTCCCACAGGGGACTCGGGGCGCCCTTGAACCCGCGATCCTGATGGCTTTCATTTAACATGCCTCGTTTCCTTAGTTTCCTTAGTGTGTCTTTGTACTCACCAGGTTCAGAGGCCGCCTCTAGCTTCCCAGGACAGCCAGCCATGCAGCCCGTGGGCAGGAAGCGCAGCAGGATGGCTGCCAAGGACCAGTTGGAGGCTCAAGTTACAGTCGCCCAGGAAATGGAGCTTGCGGGTAAACACAGTCCAAGGGGATATGGAAGAAGGTGCACGCCTGACGGTCTGCCTGCTTTCTGCGCTGGGGGCACACGGGCAGCCCGAGGCCCCCGACCCCTTCGTGGCTTTGGAGTCCACCGTGCGTGTGCTAAGATGCCCCAGGTTTTCAACGCAGGCTCAAGGGCCTTAGGCTGCCCGTGGGAGGCTCCCCATCATAGCAGGGTTACAAATGCTCTCAAAGCAGCTCTTCTCCATGGGTGCTGTCCTGACATCCAAGGGGTCTGACCTGTGAACGTTGTTTACTGGGACTTGAACCCGAAGGGCTTCAATCTACAAAGTCTACAAATAGTACGTTTCTCTACCAAAAAAAAAAAAAAAAATGTCCACAACAGCATCTTCCTCTAAAAAAGTTTGTCTTTTTTATTTTAATGCAGGAAAGGCTCCAGTAAGTTATGAGCATGAGGAAAGAAAACCTGTTACAGAGACAAAGAAGGGAGATGTAACTGATGAGCATCAGGAAAGAGAACCTTTTGCTGAAACAGATGAACACGTGGGGTAAAGTGTTTAAGTCACTTATGCCTGTCGGATAAGGTCTTTAGGAAAAGTCAGCTTTGGATCATGTCATCACTGTTCTGTTCTATGCAGAACATTTCACATAAAACATTTCTTCCCAACAAACATGGCATTTTGTGCAGTATTATGTTAAAATTTTGTTGCAACTTTTTTTTTTTTTACAGGGTTGATACCAAGGAGCTAGAAGATATTGCAGGTATATTTTACAAGCTATTTGTGGTTTATGAAAATTGTTTTTAACCATACAACTGTTACAGTAGGTTATATGAATTAGTGGATGACAAGACAGTCTTAAATGCCTTCTTCTCATATATAGCATTTAATGTAATCTGTTTGATAATTTTTCTTACTTACCTTTTTAATTGTTGATGCAGAATGTGAGGGTGCTTCTAATAATGGCAAGAGGGATGGCTTTTCTTTCATTCACGTGGAAATTTAATTGTTTGGGGGATATTAGAGGACACTGGAGGAGAAACAGCTCTATTCATTCCTTTCAGTGTACACACATTAAGTCGTATATCAGGTTTTTTTAGCTTTTACTTTAGGTTTGGTGGTACATATGCAGGTTTGTTACATAGATAAATTGCGTGTCACAGGGGTTTGGTATACAGATTATTTTGTCACCCAGATTATAAGCATAGTACCTGATGGGTGGTTTTCAATCCTCACCCTCCTCCTACCCGCCACCCTCAAGTAGGCCCAGGTGTGTGTTGTTCCCCTCTTCCTGTCTGTATATACTCAAAGTTTTTAACATGAGCTTTTCATGTTCGTGATTTAGCTATTGTCACAACTTTCTGATTTTGTTTTCTTTAAAGTACCAGAGAAAATTGAATTATCTAAAATGATGATTTTCTATTATTATTCCAGTAATAAATTGTGTAGTAGAAAAGGAAAGACAACCTTTCTACCCAGTGAGAAACATGTAATTGGATCCAAAAACTCATAAACTTTATATTGCCATGTGAAATATTAGTTGCACTGTTATAGGACCATATCTTCAAAAAAGTTTGAGAAAATTTCTGTAGAAACAATGGAGACAATACTCTTATTTTTAAAAAGCTTACTTTAATTTTCAGCTCTTCTATAGTGATAATTCATATAAGCAGTATATTTGGAAAACTTTGCTCTGCTTGGTGGTGACAAAGTGCTGGTTTTGTGAGCTTCCTAATACATTGAGCATTATAGATGGATACCATATGTAAAAAATATTTGTATTATGGTGCAGCTCTTCTATGATTGCCAAAAACTACTCTTAGCAATTGATGGTAGATCTCTGATGTGAAACCATGTTTGGGAAAGCATTCCTTGCAGTATTACAGTTTTCTGAAACACCACACTATGGGTAAAAATGTCAGATAAAAAGCTCTCAGAAAATATTTCAAACGTGTTTTTGAATGTATTTCTTTATCTGTTTAAACCTAAATGTTTATACCCATGGACATTGCTTCTTTTATTAAAACATAGTTAATAGTATCAACCACGAGACTGATTAAAAATACTTTGCTTATTGTGTATTATTTCTACCCTTTTGATGGTCTTATTAAATAAGATACTTTTTTGTGCTTTACATAATGAGTTGTGACAGTATTTCACAGAAACATGTCCTTTGAATTGTAGGACATTTTATAAATGTAGAAATTAAAGTCTGTGGCTGGGCGCGGTGGCTCACGCCTGTAATCCCAGCACTTTGGGAGGCCGAGGCGGGCGGATCACGAGGTCAGGAGATGGAGACCATCCTGGCTAACACGGTGAAACTCTGTCTCCACTAAAAATACAAAAATTAGCCAGGCATAGTGGAGGGCGCCTGTAGTCCCAGCTACTCGGAGGCTAAGGCAGGAGAATGGCGTGAACCCAGGAGGCGGAGGTTGCAGTAAGCCGAGATTGTGCCACTGCACTCCAGCCTGGGTGACAGAGCGAGACTCCATCTCAAAAAAAAAAAAAAAAAAAAAAAAAAAAGAAATTAAAGTCTGTGTTTGTAACCCTTTCTGCACACTTGAAAAATAGAAACTTGCCGGGCGCAGGTGGCTCACGCCTGTAATGCCAGCACATTGGGAGGCCGAGGCGGGCGGATCACGAGGTCAGGAAATGGAGACCATCCTGGCTAACACGGTGAAACCGTCTCTACTAAAAATACAAAAAAATTAGTCGGGCGTGGTGGCGGACGCCTGTAGTCCCAGCTACTAGGAAGACTGAGGCAGGAGAATGGCATGAACCCGGGAGGTGGAGCTTGCAGTGAGCCGAGATCACGCCACTGCACTCCAGCCTGGGCGACAGAGGGATACTCCGTCCCAGAAAAAAAAAAAAAGAAAAGAAACTGTTTTAATTATTTGCTTTTTTTCATCATCCGTCAATTAAGTGATTTGCTGTTATACCAATTGAAATTGGAATACTAATATTAATACCTGAAAGGTTTTACATAAAGTGAGTAAACCTTGCTTTGTAAAATGATCTTTGCATTTTACATGTTAAATGTCCTTCCGATATTGCTGAACCATCAAGTCACATATTGATTTCAATATATGCAAAGAAACGACTTTTCAACATGAACTTTTAATGCATATTCATTTATTATCTAGCTGACATTAAAGAGGATCTTGCTGCAAAGAGAAAAAGGATTGAAAAGATTGCAAAAGCTTGCAGTGAAATAAAGAATAGAGTTAAAAACGTTTTGAGAACAATGCAACTAAAAAGGTATGATTGTTGGCTTTTTTGCATAATGATATTTATATCATTGGCATCTACATATTGGCATCTCTAGTGAAGAACATATTTTACTTGATTGTTCCCTAAGCAGGTAAATGTCTTTAGTTTTATAACCTCAGTTTAACAGAATTGAGAGATATTACCTAGAAGCCAATGAAGATGACCTCTTTTTGCCTTCCAGATAAAAATAGTCTTCCTGGGGCCGGGCGCGGTGGCTCAAGCCTGTAATCCCAGCACTTTGGGAGGCCAAAACGGGTGGATCACGAGGTCAGGAGATCGAGACCATCCTGGCTAACACGGTGAAACCCCGTCTCTACTAAAAAATACAAAAAACTAGCCGGGCGAGGTGGCGGGCGCCTGTAGTCCCAGCTACTCGGGAGGCTGAGGCAGGAGAACGGCGTGAACCCGGGAGGCGGAGCTTGCAGTGAGCTGAGATCTGGCCACTGTACTCCAGCCTGGGCCACAGAGCGAGACTCCGTCTCAAAAAAAAAAAAAAAAAAAAAAAAAAAAGTCTTCCTGTAAAATTAATGTTTAGCCATTTCTAGAAATATGGTAGCTGAATATAAGATAAATGTCTTCAATGTTTAGTCTGTAGATTCTTAACAATATTCAATTATGTAGAAAGGGATAACCTTATGTTGTAAATAAGTTATTAGTTAAACTGTTTTCACTATTCCTTTTATGAAATCATTGTTGTGCCAAAGTGGAGAAATAGTTAAGTGAAGTATTTCTTTTGGGAAATCTTATGGGATGAATGGCTACAATATTCTCGAACCTACTTATGAGAACCCATATGTTATTTAGTAAGAAGAAATGAAAAGTAAACTGCTCTTGGAGAAAATGATTGTTTCTGGGAAATTTATAGTGCAGTAAACCCTCCTTAGTCTTCAACATGTAAAGAATATAAGATAGCTGCTCTAGTAGTCAGTTAGGAAAGGATCCTTTCAGAATGAGAGTAACTCATTTCACCTTTTCCCAAAAAGATTTCAGCTGCTATTACTCCCTTGCTACTTTATAGTATAAACTATGTCAAGTCAGTTTTGGTTTGAATAGGATTAATTTTTCATCTCTCTATGATGTATGACCTTGTTACTTATTATGTGTTATAGGCAGAAACATGATTACAGAATTTCTCTGAAGTTGCCGAATGTCCTTGAAGAGTTCACCACAGATGAGCAGAAAGATGAGGAAGGAGAAGGAGAAAAGGAAGAACAAATTGTTGGTATCAGGCTTTGCTTTATGATTTACCTACTGTATCAATGTCTCAGGGAGTAATAGTTCATGCAGAAATCCAGCGAAGAAGGAAGAGAGCATGAGCCCAAAGAGGGGGCCTGTTAGTGGACTCATGTACCAGGGGAATATAATTGCCATGCAGCATTAGGGGTCCAACTGAGGTCAGCATCATAGCGATTAAGAAGTTAAAGTGAGCCCAGTTGGCATATTTGTACAAGAACAGCTGTAGGGTTGGAATTTCCTGGGTTGGGGTGTAGCCCAGCATGTTGATAGAGGGAGAGTTGGGCAGGGCATAGACACAGGGATGGGGTTATGATGACTAGCTGTGGAATTTCAGCTGGGACTGAGTTACCTGAGCACATGGGGATGGGACATTGGGCAGTGAAAAGTGCTCCATTCAATAGGCATCAGGTCCTGACAGACTCCTGAACTGTAGTACTGAAGTGAGTGACCTACAGTGGCAGGAAGGTAGTGGCTGTATGTTGGGAAGATGGAGAAACAGCTGATTGCAGTGGTCAAGGGCTGGGACTCTGGAGCCCCACTGTTTTTGATCCAATTCCAGTTTGACCATTGCTAGCTCAGGAACCATGGGCAAATTATTTATCTCTGTGCTAAAGTTTCTTTATATACGAAAGGAGACATGGTAAGAGTACCTACTTCAGAGTTGTTTGGAGCATTAAAGGGTTCCTATGTAACGGGTTTATTTAAATTTTTCAGGATGCGATCTGGCTCATGGTTGCTGTTTATCAATGCTATTAGTATTATGTAGGTATTATGGTCATTGGGAACGACAAAATTTAGGGGATGACTGTGTGTGCCACGTAGTGGAGATGAGAACACTGTTGTTGGAGATTAGGTCAAGGTGCAGAAAAACAGTCATTAATGGAAGGTTCGTCTATGTACATATTGAAATGACCAAGATTTAATACATGTTTAAAATCTTAATAAGAAATAATGTTTCTTAGTTAATTTATGTATAGATCTTACCTATCTGTGGTCAACAAATTATAGGGAAGGTCATCAAATACTCTTCATTTGAAATCAAGAATTGGGACATGCATGTTGAATATGTACAAGAAAGAAAATTCTTTACTCCATTACTGATTAAAAAGGTTATCGTTTTAGCACGAGTGGTGAACACAATTGTTTCAAATTTGGTCATAAACGTTGTCTAAAATAAAGTGTTCACAGGTATTGATTTAAAGAGTATTTCTTTAATGCAGAATTATGTTTTGTAAGTATTAAAATTTACCCAATTTTAATCACTTTTTTGTTTTGTGCTTCTAGAAGATATTTCAAGAGCAACAAAAGAGGTGGCAACAAGATAAGGAAGGAACTGAAAGAGATTGAGCCATCACACGAGCAATTCACAAAGGTCTGTTCTATTTGGTAACGCAATATATTCTTATAAAATACAACACATGCATAAAAATAGAAGACAGTCTGCTTGTTTCTGAATGTATGGAAAGATATTTTGGTTATACATTTTGAATTACCATTTTCACTTTGAATGTATTGTTCCAGATTTAACATAATTGGTAAATGCAGTAACATAAAACAGTATTTTTAGGATTCATGAATAGTTTTGTGGGAGTTATTTAGAACAGGAAAAGGTAAATTGGAAATTTTATCTAGAAATATACCTCTTGTTTAAAAATTGATACTTTATGAACACATTAATGAAGACTTTATTTTCAGTTTTTAGGAGATCAGCGACAAATCTTTGGAAGGCAGAAAGTCCATAAGTCCTTTCTAGATGTCTTTTTCACTTGTGTTGTTTCAAGAGTTTTAGTTAAATAGGAAGTAGGCAAATGTAACTACTGAGTATCTCTTTTATTTTCTGCTGTAATGTAGGAGTGTTTTATGGCATATTCACTTTCAAAATTATTAGTGACTAGTAATGGTTTTACATGACAATTTGTAATAATAAGGGATGGTTCAGATGTACAACAGAATGGGAAAGCCAGCAGATTATTAACATGTTGTGAATTGTGAATTATCTGCTGTCGTACAGCACATTAGCAAATTGTCATTGGACAATGACCTCTTCTTCATGTAGATGTATATTATTTAGGAAACAATGGAATTCCTTTCTGTGAGGTAAGGTATTCTTTTTAACAATCTTGTGAAAAGTCATGTTCATATGTCACTCCTCTACACTAACTGAGATGTGTTAAATAAACTGGGAAAGAGTTTGAAAATAAAATTTTCGAGCAACTTGAGGATTATCTATACACAATTATTTATATAGAAGTCACAAGTGGAGAACATGTTACTATAATGTTCCCCAGAAACCATTTATTAATTGGTATGAACATGAGACTAGAAAAGTTTTCCTGTCAATGTTAATGCTACATGTTACCACTTAGGGTAGGAACTTCGGTATCATCTTGGACTCTTCTGAGTCCATTATCTTTCCCATGCAGTTATCATGAGGCAAGTTTTACCTCTGCAATGGTCCTTAAATTTCTTTTTTTAAATTGCCACTGAGGCTACCCTAGTTCAAGACCTCATTCTTCCTTGCTTATACTATTAAACTCTTTTCTGAGTTCTCTCTTCTCTTCTGAGCCACCTTTCATTGATCAGAAATACTATCTTCCTAAAACCCTTCCCCTCCAAAAATGCTTCTAGCCCTTCCCTCTTCCCAGCCTGTCAGTGGCACCCACATGTCAGTTCTTAGATATTCAGAGACTCTCCCCTTTACATGACCCCCTCTTAGGCTTGTTTTGCCGCCTTCTGTCTTTCTTCTTGCCTCTCTGGGTTGACAGCCTTCTCTGAACGTCCTCTCCATTAATCTCATGCTTTGTTCATGCTCTTCCCTCACAATGCTTTTTAAATCTCTTTTTTTCTTGTTTTTGACCGATTGATATCTTTGGCCAACTAAGTTGACATCAGTCTCCATTTTTGGCTACATGTCCGAGTGAGTTGCCCTTCCATAGCAGTTACATAAGTTTTGTTATCAATTTTTTTTATTCGTGCATTTGCTCATGTCACAGGAATATGAAAGAGATTGTGTGTTCATTTTTTACATCTTCCTCAGCATTAACATACCACATTTTAGGGAGTAGGAACTGTTGAACTGTTTGCTGAGGGAATAGTATATATTTCAAACATAGTTATGTTTTCTCTAACTTGATGAGGTCATATCACAGACCATTCTATCCCTTCAGTGGAAACCATGTTATATGGACTATTAGTGATAACAAATGGGTCACTACCTGGTGAAAAAATACGGTATTTCATGATGTAAGACTACCAGTCTTTTTCTGTTTTTGCTCCATCTTGACCATAACGTGTTTATCAAACCATTTTCTTCAAGCAAAGTACATGACTGTTGGACGTGCTATAATAATATTTCACTGAAATCTGGTATTAAAATATTTAAGTATTTGGAGCTCCATGTATTGATTACAGTTTTTAAATTTGAAATAAGGGGGCAGGGCACAGAGGCTCACACCTGTAATTCCAGCACTTTAGGAGGCCAAGGCGGGCAGGTCACGAGGTCAGATCGAGACCATCCTGGCTAACACGGTGAAACCCCATCTCTACTAAAAACACAAAAAATTAGCCAGGCATGGTGGCGGGCGCCTGTAGTCCCAGTTACTCGGGAGGCTAAGGCAGAAGAATGGCGTGAACCCGGGAGGCGGAGCTTGCAGTGAGCCAAGATCGTGCCACTGCACTCCATCCAGCTTGGGCAACAGAGCGAGACTCTGTCTCAAAAAATAATAATAATAATAAGTAACCAGCATCCTTTGAATACTAAAAGCTGTTTCCTTTTGACATTTAATTGATTCTGTTTAAAACGTGAGATGTAAAGTGATGGTTTGTCAGTGAACTAGACTTTTTGTTTTAAGAGTATCAAGGATTTGGAAGAATATGATGAAAGCCCTCTTTTTGGTGAAGAGAGTCAACTTAAAAAATAAATCACCCTGGCTGGGTGCAGTGGCTCACGCCTGTATTCCCAGCACTTTGGGAGGCCGACGCGGGTGGATCACGAGGTCAGGTGATGGAGACCATCCTGGCTAACATGGTGAAACCCCGTCTCTACTAAAAATACAAAAAAAAAAAAAAAAAAAAGCCGGGCATGGTGGTGGGCGCCTGTAGTCCCAGCTACTTGGGAGGCTGAGGCAGGAGAATGGCGTGAACCTGGGAGGCGGAGCTTGCAGTGAGCCGAGATCGCGCCACTGCACTCCACGCTGGGCGACAGAGAGAGACTCTGTCTCAAAAAATAAAAATAAAAAATAAATAAATAAATAAATAAATCGCCCTGTTCCAAAATAATATTGTGGTAATTGTAAGTAGTGCATATTTAATCTTAAAAACTCAGGACTGATGTAAGCACTGGAATATTTTATTTGTAGAAATGTGTATCACAGTTACTTAAATTTATTTTTTTGAAACAACTGCAGCAATAATTGCCACTTATTCATATGTATCTTCAACCTCTGTTATTCTGATGACTGACAAAAGAACTTGAACCTATGTTATATGATACAAGCATAACTTGAGCTACACTAAACCACATGACAGTGTTTACTTAATTCTTGTATAAATTAGTATATCTCCTCTATCATTAGCCTGTTTGTTAAATGCTGGACCATGTTTCTATGATCTGTTGAAAGAGCCCTAGACAGTTCTGTGAGAAAGCAGCAATTGCACAGTTATATACACAGTCAATTAAATTTTAACGTTAAAGATAATTTAGTTTTAGGTTTGGCCTCTGTGGTTCTGTATCAGTTCCAAAAATGTGGAAAGCATGGGCATGGAAAAGCACATTTTTCTCTAATAAAAGAAGACAAAACCTTATTTTATCTGTGCATTCTTTATATTTAATCATTAGGTTAAAGAAGCAATTCCAATGAAAGCTTGACTTCAAAACATAGATATACGCTATGGCCTTTCAAAATTATTAAAAGTACCTTAACGTCTGTGTTCTTGAAAAAATTAAACTACTATAAATGATTGAGACAACTGAGCAAGATATATTAATATCAGTGCTGAACCACTGGTTTGTGGGTATGTCTTTCCAAAGACATCAAATTGCCATGTAGTTTGTTTTGGTCCACCATTCAATGATACCTCCCCTTAGCATTGAATGAAAGTATTTTGTTAACATTTATGTATGCTTACAATTATTTCACATCTGTGGCAAGGTAAATTATGTAGGGTGCTTTGTTTTTCAAGTTTAGTATTTGTGGAGTATGCGGAAGTTTAAGTATATATGCATCTAAAAACTTAAGTGATGAATTCTCCTACCTTTCGTTTTGTAATGTGCGGTTTTTACATGTAACAACATACAAAATGTTCATTTGAAACACTTTATTTAGTAAATACGAAATTCAGAATATATTTGGAGTAAGTCAGTTAAATGTATTCTTTGCTGAGTTTCTGAAATTCCATTCATGAATCCTTCAGAACACAATACTCCCATTGGGAGGAGAGGAGCGACTTCCTCTCATTTTCCCTTGTGCTTTTTATTTTAATTGGCCCCTATATACCACTCTTGTCTTTTCTAGGTTTTCCAAGTTTAAGGAAAAAAAAAGTTCATTCAGATTCTGGTTTTCTGCCTGCAATCACTTATACAGGAATAAGTGAGTCCCTATGGGGAGCATTTAATTCCTAAAGCTTGCATTTTCATAAAGGATTTTCCTTTTACCCAAAGCGTGTGTTGGTGTATAAGTCTAAGTACTACTTCAGGTTTCTAAGAAAATCCTTATTTGAGATCTGCAGAGGCCTATATGAGAGTTCTATTATACATACTGGGCTATGTAACCATTTATTCTATAGTGGAAGGATGAGAATTAGGACGAAATGTACTTAGTGATGAAACAGTTGATATTTATGCCACCCCTTACTACCTCATATGAGTAATGGTGTACTTTAAGTCACTTTGGCAGATATTCTGAAGGGAAGAAAGTTTTTGTCCTTAAAAGTTATTAGGGGTGTGTGTATAAATGTGTGTGTGTGTGTGTATATATATATGTGTGTGTGTCTTTATATGTATATATGCATATACATGTATCTATACATAAATAATATGCATATATGCATATGTGAATATGTGTACACACACACACATATCTATGACTTTATTTTTTAGAATTGTTTTTAGTTCACAACAAATTGATCTGAAGGTCTAGAGATTTCTCATTTACCCCCTGCTCTCCCACCACAACACTCCCCACTGTCCATATCCCCCACCAGAGTGGTGCCTTTCTTATAACCCATGAACTTACATTGACACATCATTATCACCCCAAGTCCATAGATTACTTCAGGGTTCACTCTTGGTTCCTTTTTTTTAGTGACTATTTTTTTCACATCACCTGTGCTATAGTCCCTGTTTTATTTCTCATAAAGAGAACATTTAATTTGTACTTTTTTGTGACCATGAAATTTTAGGTTAGAATATCAGGAACAAGTTACACTAAAACAAATGTAAAGATTCACTTTTCTCCCGAAAATGGTAAGACAGATAACATTTATTTATATATGCTTGAAACGTTGCAGTTAGTGCTTTTAAATTCTAGATTGAAGCACATATTTTCTTTTGTTCCATAATAAACACCCCGTTTGAAGAATGGCTGATATCTAGAGCATCATATCTTGTAATATTGTCTCACTCAATAGCTGAATGTTGAAATGTACAGTCACAAAGCACTAAATATATCCTTAGAACAATGATGTACTGAACAAAATTCAGAGTTCAAATGCAAAGACAGCTCCCAAGAAAGTTTTCCCACAGACCAGAGGCAAGTCCTTTCCTTCAGCAACTGAAACCCAGGAGAAACAGAGTCTCTTGCCTCTGCCTCTTGGAGAGGGGTTCTCCTGATACTAGAGGGAAAGGGCCATCTCATCTCCCTGACGTTAGTTAAAATTTCATCTTGGATTGATAGGTTAATATCTTTGTAAAGATATCTAAATTAAGGTGATTCAGTCAAATCACAAATACTTGACTCACTCCTTAGGAGGAGCTTAACTCTGCCCTGAATTTCTGTGCACACACCTGATTTTATTGCACTCACAGTACAAAAGCTCTGAGATGTAAAATTGAACCAGAACTGGACAGCGCATTGCATTCTTATTCAGGTGAATCAGGGCTCTCTCAGCGCTGCTCACCCAAAACACATTGAAATCAATTCTTTTTATTCTTATTTATTTGTAAAACTGACAGTGATGTATCTATGTCAGAGGGTTACTATGAGTGTCAGAGGAAACGATGGTGAGAAGGTTAGACACATGGTACATGTTGAATAGCTATTAGTTACCAATATCTTCATGATTTTTATTGATATGTAATACTTGTAAATATATATGGGGTAAATGTGATATTTTGATTCATGAATATGTAAAGATCAAATCAGGGTAGTTGGGATTTTCATCATCTCAAACTTTTATCACTTTTTGTGTCAAGAACATTGCAAATTTTGTCTAGGTATTTTGAAATACAGGATAACTGTAGTTACTTGAGTGTGCCATTGAACACTAGAACTTATTTCTTCTCTCTAACCGTATGTTTATACCCATTGTCCAGCATTTCTTTTTCCCTGACATCCCTCCTACCATTTCCAGCCTCTAGTAACCACCATTCTACTCACTACCTCCCTGAGATCAATTGTGTCCAGGAATGAATAGCAAGTAAGTGGTAAAGATGGACTAGTTGATAGTTAATAACCATGACTGGTCTATTCTTTGTCTGCTACACTTTCTTTCATCTATGTGTGGCAAGTGCCTACTTACTCTTTTAAGATCTGTGTCAAAGACCACCTAATTCTTCACCTTTTCTGGAATCCGTTAGTTCTCAAACAAAATTGTGCCCCTTTTCCTCTCTTTTAGTGGTTTTGTACCTCTCAAATCCCGTATTGTGACTGTTATTTACTTCACTGTTACCCTTCAGAGTAAAAATTTTATCACAGTCCTAGTTTTATTTTTGGAACCTGGTGTGTTCCCAGCCATACAAGAGGTGCACAATACACATGTACTAAATAAATGAATGACTGGTTATTTGAAAGAACACTGAATACACAGCAATTCTCCAATCTCTGTGTTTATGTAAACACAAGAATTAATTTTATTTACCTAATTCAAACATTATCTTTAAATTTATTCAAACTTCCCATTTTCCATGAATTAACCAGACATCCTTTGTTGCTAGATTTTCACTAATTAACCAGTTAAATATATTTTGCCTTATATCACTTTAAAAGAGCAGGTCAAACAAAATCAGACAGCTGGCCGGGCGCGGTGGCTCACACCTGTAAACCCAGCACTTTGGGAGGCTGAGGCGGGCAGATTGCGAGGTCAGGAGATCAAGACCATCCTGGCTAATATGGTGAAACCCTGTCTCTACTAAAAATACAAAAAAAAAGTTAGCCGGGCGTGGTGGCGGGCGCCTGTAGTCCCAGCTCCTTGGGAGGCTGAGGCAGGAGAATGGCGTGAACCTGGGAGGCGGAGCTTGCAGTGAGCCAAGATGGCGCCACTGCACTTCAGCCTGGGCAACAGAGCGAGACTCCGTCTCAAAAAAAAAAAAAAAAAAAAAAAATCAGACAGCTTCGGTAGTTCACGTCTCTTGAGCTCACGATTTTAAGGAGTGAAGTTCACCCCGCCACTTGCCTACCTGTCTCAGTACTCACACACTTTCATCGATGTCCTGCTAATGTACATGAAATCAAATATCCATACCTGCTTTTAAGTGTGCCCTAGTCAACAAACAGGTCACTTGGTTATCATTGTCTTCCATCCAGGATCAAGACAAAATAAGTGCCAGAGAAAGATGTCCTATAGAGATTCTCACAATGTACTAGTCACACATAAACAAATTAATTACTGGAGCACACATTCCTATCTTTTAGAAAGAGAAGACCTGTTAATAGGAGTTGAGAGTGAAGAAAATCAATTCTCGTTGAACCGATAAATGTCCCTTCTGGATAGTTTACATTACCATTAAAGCAAAAAGTTGCCATTTTATCTGTCAGCTACTTATTTCTTGCATGAGCTATTCTGGCTTTTTAAATCGTATCTTTTGGCTGGGCATAGTGGCTTATGCCTCTAATCCCAGTACTTTGGGAGGCCGAGGTGGGCGAATCACTTGAGGTCAGGAGTTTGAGACTAGCCTGGCCAACACGGTGAAACTCTGTCTCTACCCAAAATATAAAAAATTAGCTGGGTGTGGTGGCACACGCCTATAATCCCTGGGGTGGCTGAGGCAGAAGAATCGCTTGAACCCAGGAGGCGGAGGTCACAGTGAGCCGAGATCGTGCCACTGCACTCCAGCCTGGGCGACAGAGTGACACTCCGTCTCAAAAAAAATAAATAAAAATAAATAAATCATATTTTTGGTCATTTGCCAAGTGCTTGGCTGTTGGGTACACACGGAATAAATTATCCAGTAAAAAACATCTCGAATCTTTCCAGCTATTTTTGATCAGGTACACCTGTAAATCTTAAAAAGCCTGTAAAGAAATACCTAACTAGTACATTGGATACAAGACATAAGACAATAGTAACTGAAGTTCTGAAAGTTAACTTAGGAAATTGCAATCGTTAGGGGGGAAAATCCTTAAAGCCTTAAAACTCTACTAGGTGGCAACCGCTGTTTATACACACATGCATTTCCCTCTTCATATTTGGGAAACTGATGGTGGTGTTTCCTTTTTAGGGTGGAAGAAAAAATTCTCCATTGAGAGAAGGGAAGGAAAATACAGGAAAAAGAACCATTCTTTGAAGGCACCTATTGTCCAATTCATGAGGAAGAGCTTGTAGTTCTGAGTTGCACAAGCATGCTTTAGTTGTTTTTCTGTAGGATACTAGAGGAGGTTAAATGTTTCACGATAGCTGTGTCCTCAGACCCAGTGTAGGAGATGGGTAAAAAAATGTTGATTGGATAAATGTGTTACTTTGCTAGTTCATACCTCTCTGAACCTATCTTGAAGCTGCTGTGGGGAAAATTTCTCCATCTTTTCTTTGTTCTGTCACCATTCAATCTATTCATCTATTGCTTGAGAATGTTTTTGCAATAACAAATCTTTGAGGTTTGGAAACCAGCTGTGATTAGTTTAAGAACTCTTGGTCCTACCCAATTTCAGCCTGTGCTGGGGTGTCTATTTCCTTTGTAAATTAAGGCTGCCTCCCCGTCTGCTGATTACTGGGGCTGATTGGTTGTGCCCTGCATTTCACTGGAGCCCCTGTCTGTTCTTTGGCTCACCTTCCCCCGCCCTTCCTTATTTGTAAAGCCCTGAAGGAGGCAAGTTTCCTTTGAATGTCATTAACACTTTGTAATTAGCTAGGAAGCCAAGGAGAATACCAAATGTCCCTTTCCCACCACGGGGCAGACTGTTTTGTTTTCTCTTCTGAACCCCAAGCAGGAACTGGCTAAGATATGATGGCCCCTCCACACGAAGAGTGACTGATTTCATTGGGAAGTGAAATTTGCATGACACCATCAGAAGCTCTTGACCCGTCAGACTCAGAACTCAGCAAGCTTTTCTTTCCCATTAATCCATGGTTAATGCCTTTGTGCTGCATAGTTTATTCAGTCCACAGCTCCCTCCTCAAACATAAACCACTAAAGGACCATGGATTCACAGGAATTACAATAAGACTACTGAGAGGCAGAGAGCGGAAAGCCCTGGGCTTTGGTGTCAAGCAGACCCAGGTTCAGGAGGAAGCAGGGATAATATATACTTTTTTTTTAAGTCAGGTTGTGAGGTATAATTTACATATAGTAAATTTCCCCCTAAGGCGTGGCATTTGGAATTGCACTTTTCTATAATCTGTGAAGGAAATTGCACTGAGTTCAGAGCCAGGAAACATGGGTCTTGCTCCCATCCCCCCAGCCATTGTCAATGAATAGCTCTGAACTCTGCATCATCTGTAAAATGTGTGAGTTGAACTAGGTGACAGTGAGGTCCCCTCTGCATTGTAAGAAGTCTGTTGTTTTATATTTTAAATGAATGAAACAAACAAAATAACTTGTCTTCCCAAAATATATTCAAGAATCTCATGATTGAAGTTCACTGTTGAAATAACTAAGCTTCTTCTACAGTTCAAACTTATTTTTACAGTTGCTGCTGGAAGAATTTCTAAGCATATTGGGATAAACAGTTCCCACTTGCTGATCCTAAACTAACCAGTGGCCCTTGCTCCCCCCACCCCAGGTCACCCTAGTCCTCCAGTCGGCTGAGGCAGTGGGAACAGGAAATCAAGTCTCTCAGAAAGTTCAGGCTGCCTTGAATGGCTGCCAGATTACCCTGGAGGAGAAGCTCCGGAGGCAGGCGGGAAAGGCCCCCCTCCTCTAGTTACAGAAACTCTCTCCTTACACTCCTCTCTTAAAACTACCTAAACTTAAATGCAAAAACATTTCTGCAGAGAGGAAAGTGCCCAACATTCTCTGGTTATGGATTGGGGGCCCTGTTTCATCAGTTTTTGATCAAGGCATTTTGACTTGATTGAACTTTCAGATTGCTCTAGCCTTGTCTCTCCTCCCCCAAACCAAACAAATGAGTGCTTGGAATGAGTGAAGCACACACATTCCTGGATCCAGATTGATATCTGGAACTGGAATGTGACATTTACCAGTGTAATGTGCTGAGATTTAAGTTTATGGAGAGTATTCTTCCCAGGTAAACCTCTGTGGCCTCACTCCTGCAGTTGGGGGAGAAAAATGTGGCAGCCACTTTCTGGCCTTTCTCCTGCAGGTGAGCACAAAAGCTTAAGACATACATACCTGCAGGGGATGTAGGAGAGTGTCCAGTGGAAGGATGATCTCATTCCCTAATACCTGACCATTCATGGCAGCCTCTGTTTCTCTGAAGTCCTGTTGGAAGTTGATTTCCATGGGGCCTTTGTAAGTGTGACTAAGAAAACCATGCTAAAGTCTACATTCAGTCCAGTTTGCAGGAGCTGTTTGGAATCCGGGCTGCATTGTTAGGATGATGCCTGTTGGCTCTTTATCCTGTTCTATTATTTCTAAATCACACGTGTTGACTTCTAACATACTAATAATTTTTGTTTTTATTGTGTTTGCCACCTGTCTCCTCTCATTAGAATGTAAGAGATGCATGTCTCTTTTCTTCATTATTGTATCCCCAGTGCCTAGCACTGTGCCTGGGACCTAGTAAGAGCTTAATTAATATTTGCTGAATAACTTAAATGAACAAGTGAATGAATGATCCCTAGTAGAATCCCCTCGAAGAGATTTTCATTTTTGAACCAAATCCTTGAATAAATTCATATAAATATTTACTGAGTCTATGATGTGAGTTAAACAAAAAGTACAGAATAAAGAAATAGGATAAGAATGTGTCAACTGGCTAATCTCTCCAGGGAAGTAATAACTCAGCACCAAAAAATAAGCTACATGAAGCACTACTCAGGAATAAAAATAAATGAAATATTGACACTTAAGACAACATGATGACTCTTAAAATTATTATGTTGCATGAAAGAGGCTAGACTCAAAAGATCTACTGGGTGATTTCATTTATATAAAATTGAGTCTATAAAATATAATCTATAGTCACAGAAAGTAGATCAGTAGTTGCCTGGGTACTGGGAGTGGAGAGAGAGTGATTACCAACAGGCATGAGGAAAGTTTTAGGGATGATAGATAAGTTGATCATCTTGATTGTGGCGACAGTTTTACAGATGTGTGTATACATCAAAACTCACCGCATTGCACATTTTAAACGGATGCAGTTTATTGTATGTCAATAATGCCTCAATAAAGCTGAAGACTGCAAAAAGAGTACATTTTAATGCATCAATCAAGAACTACCCTTTGAGTGCCCAACAGACAGTCAAACTATTTATTTTGATTCTTGCTTTCCTTTTCTGTACCTCATCAGTATCTCAGCAGAATTAATTAAGTAGGCACTCAATGAACTGGTGTTATGAAGTATATTTATGCTTGTTGTGATACATCTTAGGTTTTTATTTCAGAAGCAAAAGTACCATCACCATGATCCATAGACCTTTTACTTTGTAACGAGCTTCTCCATCTCTATTTTCCCCAGGATAATTGTTTTTGCATTGTTTTATTATTTATTCAACAAGCATGTATTGTACTTTTTGTTTATGGATTCTTTTTCAATTTCCTCTGATCTCTTTAAAATTCTGATCCTGTCTTGCGAGATGCTAAGTGCTCAACTCCCACCCTTCCAACTCCAATCCTCTTCTCTTAATAAGCTTATCTTAATATCTAGCAAGCAGGTTTTCTCTCCCAACATTAAGTCACTGGTAAAATGATGAAGAACACCAGACCCATGAAGGAAGATGAGGGGGAACTTCCAAGGCTGTTTACTAAGAAAGCAAACCTCTGTCATTGAGATCCTATAGGTTTGCCCCAAGTAGGGGTTACAATCTAAAAAGAGTGTGAGTTTTCACTGGCTTTCCTCTTGTTTTCTACCTAGCTAATGAACTTGCTTCAGCTCAGGGTGAAGGGATATGCCAGAAGCAGGAAGAAGTGCTTAAAGTGAGAAGATACATGAAATGTTGATCTTTGCTTCACATAAACCCATGTCATTTTTCTGTTTGGCATTCTTTCTGTGTAGGCTTCACCTTTTCTCCAGATGGTGCAGTCAGTTGTGTTTGGGCCATTCTCACATGCATTGTGGTTTCCTAGTTCACGCTCATGGTTGTTTCATGACCTGATATGCCAGTGAACTATCTTCCTTTTTAGATATACTTGGGCCACATTTTCATCACCCCTACATCCTTACTTTTTCAATATTATATGTGAAATCATCTCTCTCCAGTGAGCCTAGCGAAGTCATGAGTATTTAAGGAGACAGCGTAAGCTCTACACTCTAGAGTCCCAGGTCGTAGGTTTGAGTCCTGGCCTTGAAATCTTCTAGACATCAGGATTGCTCATGACTCTCAGAGCCACAGTTTTTCTATCTGCAAAACAGGGCTGATAATACCAACCTGCATTTCTTAAAACATAGAATTTTATTGATGCCAACTCATATTTTTTATTTTATTTTAAAATGAATGTATTTCCTGCAGACCAACCCATATTTTATCCAAACCTCAAGAATAACCCGTGTCCAATGCTGAGGAATGGCTGAGCAGAGGTTTCCACTCAGTCTCACTGGTAGAATGAGTTCAGTTGCTTGCCTTTGGGAAGATCCTAACTTCTTAATTTCAGCAGTAGTTTTATTTGTGCTTTTGGTTTTGGGGTTTTCTTTCTTTCTTTCCTCTTCCACTTGAATGTGTTACCAAACCTAAAGGGTCTTGTTGGAGAGAGAGATAAATCTCAGATGTTGTACTGCTGTTGATCTAATTACACAGAAGACCTCTGGGGCCTGTTAGGCATTTTGTTAATTGTCTTTAATCTAAGACAATGGGGAAGTCTGGTGGTTTCCTTGGAAATACCCAAGTTCAGATATTTAGGTCATTGATTTTCTGCAGCTTTCTTACAGGAAATTAAACCTGTATCCAAGTGATTGAAGTCATGTATTCAAGTCAGCTTTTGCATCCCTCCAATCACTAACTAATAACCGAACTAGTACTTTATGGTTGTCAACCACTAACTAATAACCTAACTAGTACTTTATGGTTGTGAGTACTGCAGTCCAGGTTGAATTGGCTTTGTAGATAAAATGGCTTTCTATGTTTATTCCTACAAAGATCTCTCTCTCTCTCTCTCTCATATTTTTATAGAATGGTATACAACTATGATCCACTGAAGATAGCAAGAGTGACTCTTATGATCTCCTGTACTATGATCTGTGCATCTTTTCATTGTTGAAAAGAAAATTCTTAAGCCACATTGAGAGGGTGGAGCAAGCTCCATTTCCTGACAATCCAGACTCTCTCCTAATTGTGGCCAGACAAGGGACAGAGAAGACCACTCTTTATCCTAGTTACCAGACCCGCTCCCAGCACCCATGATGTCATGCCAATCAACTTTTATTTTTACACATACATACATACACATATGAACACACAGAGTTCTAAATTATTTTCAAACACCAATCAACCTTCATAAATGACCACCCACATAGGAGTTCAGAAAGTCCTCTTTTGCAACAGAAAGATCACCCACTAGTGGACGTGACAGCAGATTGAAATCAGAAGGAATGGAAAACTCATTAGCTGCCTATTGAATTCAAAGGAAAACAGGTACTTCCCTCTGATGTACAGGCGTAGGAGATCAGTTAGTTCCCTTTCATGTGTAAACACCAACTGGTCTTGTGCTCATGGTAAGACTGGAAACAGGCACAGGGCATCCTCCTGTTCTGCCCTGGTGGGGGAGGAAAAGAGAACAATTTGGATGAAATGTGGAAAGAGTGAAGGGAGGAGCAAAAAGGAAAGACTGACAATGAGTGTACTGGAAAGGACATGATGGGTCACTTAAGAGAATGCCCTATATTGAGGATATGGAGTGTGAAACAGGAAAACTGCTGGTATGGTAAACAGCTGGCTAAGCCCCCTGAACTGGGTGGATATGACATTTGCTTTTGTCTAGTTGTCCAGCACTGCTCAGTGAATCATAGGGACCTCCAGGGCATTGTAAACTGCTTCCGGTCATGCAGGGTGTTCACACCTTCCCTTCATATGGTAGGCCCATTCTTTATCAGCTATGGGGAAAGGAAGTTGTTTGTCATGACTTCAGATATACTCCAGACTTCTCTTTCCTCTGAAATTCTGCAATTCCAAGATTCCAGATAAGTTGTGGCATGGAAACCAGCATGAAGGAACCCACAGAGCTACCAGGAAGGAGAATAGGGAGGAGTCGTTGGGAAGAGACAAATGGTACCGGGGCTACTTGAGGCTGTGTCTACACAACAAAACAATTGGCTAAAAAGGGAAAGACTCATTCAGTTAAAAGCCTATTACTGTGTTTACTTGACATCAAATCCCTGCTTTGATTGACTTCCCTTCCCTTCTGCTGAGCAGTTGTTGGACTGAATTGATCCACTGTGGCTTCAGCATAGAGAAAGCTTCAAAGCAGAATTTGTGTAGGGAGTCAAGTCATGGAAATGTGATGCCCAAAATACTATGAAATCAGGAGATGAGTGAGAATTGGAACAGTTTGTGGAAGGTCGAAAGCAAAACTGAAAATAGGAGGCTTAACTCCAGGGCTGGTTCTCCGGTCTCATTTTAGTACATCCTGATCATGTCCAGGTTAAAGTGCAGATTGGCCTCATAATTTTAGAATCCTTGAAAGCTGGCAAATCCTGTTCCAGGGAATTATCCATTTCAGGTAAACAAGCTGTTATTCTCCCAGGGGTATTTCCTTTCAAATTACTCTTATCTTTTCCCTTGGCCAAAGGGCAGAACAGCAGTAACACTAAAGCAAAGTGACACAGGAGCATGGAATCAGCAGCCCAGGCCTTCTCTCAGTGCCCTTGGTGTACTCAGTACCCAAGGTTCTTCAGTCCCTGCCCTCCCTTGCTAATCCATCTTCTCCACCTGTTCCTGGACTGGGTCTCCCTGTCTATGTTTCTGGTCTAGGGCTTCTTTCCTAATCCTGCTAGAAGAGTGATAGTTCAAAAATGACCATAATAGTCACACTATGCTATTATTATTATGAATCATCAGAGCCCTTCATTCCCTCGCTCTAAACCTTCCATTAGCTGCACATTGCATGAGAAAAAGATCCCAGTGATATAAGGCCAATGGGTGGGGCCTCACCAGCCTTCTTTATTGCTCACACGCCATGACCGCCCATCAGTCAATGTAGGTCTCCTCTCCTTCCCTGCGACACAGTGAGCAGTCTCCCACTCCACCGGGGTCTTTGCACTTGCTGCCTCTCAGCCTGAGACTTTTTGTCTTGGGCATGGTGGTGCACGCCTGTGGTCCCAGCTACTCAGTGGGTGAGGCGGGAAGATCCTTTGAGCCCAAGAGTTTGAGGCTGCAGTGAGCTATGATCACACCACTGCACTCCAGCCTGGGTAACAGAGGGAGACCCTGTCTCTAAAAAAAAAATAAATACATAAAGAAAATTAAGACCAACAAGAAAGAAAGTTTAAAATGCAAGATCAAGCATTTTTCTTTGCTGTTAGGAGATGTGGAACATCCAACCGATTTGAAAGAAAGAAAAAAACTTTCCAACATACCACAGATTTGAAGAGCATCTCTTGCCTGGCACAAAGTATGAAAATGTCCTGAGCTGCCTGTGTCTGAAAGTCTGGGGTGGGGAGGTGGGGCATTGAGGGAAAGGTGGCTGCCAAGATCTGTTGAGAGCCTACCCTGCACACTTAGTCTCACCTGGTTTGAAAAATTCCCCTTCAGTCTCCTCGGTGACGACCCTTCATTAGCAAGAAAAGGGAACTAGCCCAGATTTCTCCGTGGGCTGCAAGAATCTGTCTAGTGAGAGCGTATTCATCTTCATCTGCAAGAGACCGTAACTCAATTTGACCTTAAAGAGACTTCCCTCCCACTCACACCCCCACCCCAGGATTCTTTTTTGCCTTTGTTTCGGTACTATCAAGCACATATCCTAGAAAAATTTAAAAACATAAAAATCAAAACAAATCATAAACAGACTCTGAAAGCATAAGGCGTAAAGAAGCTAAGCCGCGTTTGGATGTGTACATTCAATTGAACATAATTTTAGAATCTTCTCCCTTGGATCACGGAAATAAACATTGTCTATCTAAGCTATGGGATGCGATGTCAAAATTTTTGTAGTATTCACCTTGAGATTTGCTTCCATCTGTTAACAATAGGGAAGAAAGGGAGGAAAAGAGAAAGAATGTGGCTCTGTTGTCCCAGCCCCCGGGGTTGCAGTTTTGCTCCTCTGCCACCCCTGCCTTGCTCTGTGGTCTCAGAAAAGTTACTGACCTTTCCGTGCCTTAGTTTCCTCTCTGTAAGATGGGCACAATGATACTGAGAGACCTCAGAGTGCTTTTGTGAGGACTAAACACAACCTATGACAAAAGATGTCATTCTGGCTGGGTGCAGTGCTCACACCTGTAATCCCAGCACTTTGGGAGGCCGAGGTGGGAGGGTCACTTGAGTCCAGGAATTCAAGGCCAGCCTGGGCAACATACTGGGATCCTGTGTCTACAAAAAGTAAAAAATTAGCCAGGCGTAGCGGCGCACCCAGGGTCCCAGCTACTCGGGAGGCTGAGACAGGAGAATCACTTAAGCCCAGGAGGTCGAGTCTGCAGTGAATTAGGATCTTATAATTGCTTTCCAACCTGGGTGACAGAGTGAGACCCTGTCTCTAATTTTTTTTTTTTTTTTAAAGTCATTCTTAGGAGAGAGAAGGAAGTTCTCTTGATTACTACAATCAATTGATAAGAGGGATTGTAAAATCATGGAGTCATTACATCTGAAATGGACCTTAGATTCCAACTCCTCATTTTAAAAATAAGGAAACCGAGGCTGGAACATATGAGTGACACATAGCATTTAGACACAAAGTTGGGTTGTTTCTATACAGACTGAAGCTTTTAGGATGTTGAGAAAACATGTTTTCAACAGTATATTTTTATAACACATGTCC